ATATTACTAATTACTAATCACTAAACTATAATATTAAATATGACTAATTATTAAAGTATAATATTAAGTTATTTATGACTAATTATTAAACTATAATATTAAATTATTTATGACTAATTATTAAACTATAATATTAAATTTACTAATTACTAATTATTAAGCTATAATATTAAATTTACTAGTTACTAATTATTAAACTGTAATANAACTATAATATTAAATTAATTGTTACTAATTATTAAACTATAATATATGAAATTACTAATAACTAATGATTAAACTATAATATTAAATTAATTGTTACTAATTATTAAACTATAATATATGAAATTACTAATAACTAATGATTAAACTATAATATTAAATTAATTGTTACTAATTATTAAACTATAATATATGAAATTACTAATAATTAATGATTAAACTATAATATTAAATTAATTGTTACTAATTATTAAACTATAATATATGAAATTACTAATAACTAATGATTAAACTATAATATTAAATTAATTGTTACTAATTATTAAACTATAATATAAAATTAATAATTACTAGTTATTAATTATTAAACAATAATATTAAATTACTAATTATTAATTATTTTAACCGAACACTAACGAAGCTTAATTTAATACAGTAGTATCTTCATCATCCGAACCTTAAAATCGGAATTCTTTATCATCCAAACACGTTGTATATGGAAATAAATCAATCTAAGACGATCTATGTACATGCAACACTATCTATTCTCTGATAAAAATGAATCAGTAAGGATTTAATGTAACAATTTAATTAAGTACCTGATCTGTTATCTGAACACTCATGTTTTCTTGATCAGCGTTGATAATCAAAGATCTAATGTACATGCAATCACGCACCGAAAACATTTAATAGCTTTACTCCATGGAAAAATAGACCTTCTCATGTTTCATTTTTTCTTTGTAATTGGGATGAGATTTTTCTAAAGATAATTCAAGTCGTTTTAGGAGTGTTAATAAGCTGTTAATTTTCATGCATTTATCGCTTGCAAATATTTTTTGAAATGAAAGTTGAATGTGCGGTTTTAATAGAATATCGTTATTACACAATTCTTCTATCAATCACTAAGTTAATAACTATCGATTTAAATTGAATCTTCGTGGACATCTTCTTAAAAATCACTATACTCGCGATCTGATGATGCTAATACTTACTAATACGAGGTTTTAATAAAATGTCATTATTTCTTAATACTTCCACCAATCATTAAGTTAATAATTTCCTATTCCGATTAAGAAGATACATGCGTATCTTTGAAAACTGTCTAATTGAAAGATTCCAGTAAAATGTAATAATTAAAAACGTTATATAAATCGAATACATATAGATTCGAAACGCCATGGAAGGATTAGAGACGTTGTCCTCTCACGACCAGTTTTTATCGCTCAGAAAATGAAACGAAAAATCACCTTTATCCGTGCTACCAATGTGTAGTCTAAACATTTCGAGCTCAAAAGATTACCATTATCACCTGGTAAGAAATGAAATTCGTTTACAATGTATTAAATAATAGCGATTATCATTCCCAAAACGATAAAAAGTGACCATAGACCATTTACAGAAAAGTAGCTATGCACTGTTACTTCTGTAAGAAGATGTAAGAAAAGTGGACAAATAAACCCACCCAAATAGCGTGTCACAAGACGGGGTGTCATAAACCCACCCAAAATAACGTAGTTCATTTTACAGGAAACAATATCTCGTCTATCTACAATATCTACAATATCTCATATTTAATAGATATTAGATCATCTGTCTTTTAAGCCCTGGGTCGAGACACGACTCACTCTACCATGTTCTTGTAAACTCAAAATTTTTAGGACACTTAGAAACAATTGTGTTAAAGAAAGGAAAACCCGAGGCAAGAATCCAGGACGATTGTAAAAAGCAGACTTCTGTCTAAAAATCGAACCCTTGTGTTAGCAACCG